AATCGCACTCACACGTTGTCCCAACGTAGTTACAGTCTGCTCGGAAGCGTCGAAGTCAGCCTGGAGATCCTTGAGTTCCGAACGCACTTGGGTAACCTCGTCCTGGTAGGCGTCACGCTCTCGACACACTCGAGCCAAGTCCGCGACGGTCGTCTCTTGAAGGTCCTGCAGACGAGTGAGTTCGGGAGTGTCACGCTATTGGACAGCGCGATCCAGATCCTCAAGGGTTGCCATGTGAACGGCTCTGAGGCGGTTCAGCTCGTCGTGAGCTTCGTTGTGCATACGCTGGTGAGCTCGCAGATCTTCTTGAGCCTTCGTGAAGCTGCGCGTAACTTCCACCAGAGACGCACGATCGCGATCCCGATCCCGATCCCGAGTCAAACCCTGGATCTGCTGAGGATCAATTGGAGGAACTTGGCTTCTGGACTCCAGCTCTTCCTCGACTCGCCGAAGTGCCTCTTGCGCCCGATCCATGCTATGCTCAGCCACATCCCGTTCGTCGTTAGCGTCCTCCAAGTCGCGTTCCTGACTAGCGTTTCTACTTTGGAGCTGCTGGATCTCAACACCGGCTAATGAGACTTCGGAGGCCAGGTGGTCGTTGCTTTCCTGCAGACGGTCGCGTTCGCGCTCAAGCCGTTCAATGTGACGCTGAAGATCACCGATCTCGCCCACCTGCTGGGCGACTCGACCTTGGAGCTGAAGAACCCGCGCTACACCAGCCACGGAGGCAGTCCCCTGGCTGCGGTGGACGGCGACTTCTGCTCGTAGGCTGGTCAGCTCCGAGTTCTGCTGCTGTATGTACGCCTGGGCCGCGTCCAGTTCTCGCGTCTGGTGCAGTAGCACCGCTGCCAGCTCTTCTTGGTAACGGATCGCGGCATCACGGGTGGCGACCAGAGCACGGAGTTCCTCACTGTGAGGGTCAAGAGGATCTGGACCGGGTGGATCCGGCGCAGGCTGGTTCGCGTGACGACTGCTCCGCGCCGAAGAAGCGCGGGATGGACTGCTCCCGGGATCGGACATTTCTGCGTCGCTAGAAAAAGGAACAAGCGAGCCAACGTACCCGTAGTGATGCCGTTGTTCGGCAACAACTACGGCCAGGAGGCGGTTGTGGAGAAGTGCGGGTCCCAGAAAATGAGTGACGGCAGGTGATTGGACGATTGATGGATCAGGATCTCGCCACAGATGCGGAAGAATGACCGACTCAGATGGATTCAGAATCAGATGGATCTGGATCTACGCTCGAAGGGATTCAAGATCCAAGATCCAATATGGGCCTGAATCTGCGCGATTAAGACGACTCGACGGGCAAGCAACTGATGCGCAATGGAGGTAAAGAGAGTCCATAGAGTCGGTAGGTACATTGGGAAGATAGGAACCACATGGCGATAGGACTTTAGTATAGGAACGAACTTAAGCGTAAATCAGACCAGAATTGGCCTTGTACAACGCAAGCGCTTCCTCCCTCGCCTGGAAACGGGAACGACATTGGCCCTACACGGCGTAGAGAGGTTAGCGGTAGCAGATCTAGTGTTGGTTGTAAGGCTGGAGTAATAGATTGGCCAGATCCAAGACCTTCCTAGTGAACTACCTGCAAGTGCACATCCAAGATCCACCGGAGTTATCTGTTTGGCCGGTGCGTCCCTCTCGTCTCAACTGTCAACGACACCGTCATTGGAGGCGGCAAACACGACTAGGAAGACCTGCGAAGGCAACGTAAAGGACAACAACCTCGAAAGGCAACAACCCGGCCGGATCCAGATCCAGGTCGCCAGATCCAAGTACAAGACCATTGGATTTGGAATGCTACCGCGAACAGAGTGAAGATTTCCACGCTGCTCCACCCACATCCCCGCGTCTCGCCCAGACTGTTCTCCCTTCAAGGCACGGACGCTTCGGAAGACACCAGAGGAGCAAGATCCAGCCATACCGACGGGAACACAAGGTGACCAAGTTCAGAACACATATCACGGATCATCGGGGGACCCCCTCCGTAAGTCGGTGTTCGGGCGCAGTTGGGGAGTTGGATTGGCAATCTCGCAGATTTTGCTGATCCCGCTACACCACAGACTATATGGGCTCTCTTTACCTTAATTGCGTGTCAGCTGCTTGCCTGTCGAGTCATGTCCACAACTTCCTGCTTACACCTGGGTGTAGATCCAGATCCACGCTGGATCTGGATCTTGGATCTGGATCTTGTATCTGGATCCTAGATCTTGGATCTTGGATCTCCGTCGGTGAAGATGCAGATCGACCCGAGTACGGATCCCGATCCATCCGGGTCCGTCTGCGTCGGTCACGCTTCCGCATCTGTGGCGAGGTCCAGATCCATCAATTATCCAATCACTTGTCGTCACTCGTTTCTGAGACTGGTGCTTCTCCACACAGACGTGAAAGTTGGTCCGCCGACCCAAGCACCAGCGTGCAATTTGATGCCGCTGGGTGTTCGCACTGAAGCAAGATGAGACGGGGAGGATCGTTCGTCAGAAGGCTCATCTCCTGGCAAAGGGGTACTCGCAACAGCATGGCGTTGATTACGACGAGACGTACTCGACTGTTTCATCGCTGAATTCGATCCGTGCAAATCTCGCGAAGTTCTGCGAAGATGGTGCGAGTATCGAGTAGTGCGACATCAACACGGCCTTTCTCTACGGTGAGCTCAACAAGGAGATCTACATGGAGTTTCCCGAGGGACCCATGGAGATTCTGGGCGGAACGGACGACGACGACGATTTGTGTGCCTACTGGACAAGTGTCGGTACGGCCTCGAGCAGGCGTCGCGCATGTGGAATGAGACGATTGACCGCCATCTCAAGTCGAAGGGGTTCAAGCCTACTGACGCAGGTCCATGCGTGAACACGCGAGGAGAAGGCGACCAAAAGTGCGTAGTCTGGCTCTATGTTGACGATATGCTGATTGCGTCGCGTGACCAAGATGTGATCACTTCGGTCAAGACTGAGATTGCTGGGAAGTTCAAGATCAAGGACCTCGGACGCGCGCGCTTCATTCTCGGCATCGAGATCCAGTACGACATGGAGCGAGGACTTTGGGCATCTGTCAGCGTGCATACACGGAAGCCTTAATCAAGAAGTTCGGACAAGCGAGCGCAAAGCCGAGCCTGACCCCACTGCACCCAAGCATCCATCTGACGAATAACGACGAACCGCAAAGCGACGAGGAGAAGGCGGTGATGAAGTTGAAGCCGTAGCGTTCGCTCGTCGGGAGTCTGATGTACCTGGCTTGTGGTACGCAACCCGAAATTTCGGTGGTTGTGGCCAAGCTCAGTCGAATCTTGGAGAACCCTGGCGAGAAGCACTGGGATGCTGGCATCAAGGTGGTGAGGTACCTGTTGAAGACCAAGGACATCGGCATCGTGTACGACCGACTACTCGGATCTGGACTCGTCGCGTACTCAGATGCAGACTGGGCTGGCAACCGCGACGATCGACGTTCGGTGAGCAGGATGATGGTGATGATGTGCGGAGCTCCGGTCGTGTGGCGATCGACGTTCCAGAAGACGGTGGCGCTGAGTTCAACTGAGGCCGAGTACATGGCGCTCAGCGAGTGTGTCAGGGAAGTGGTGTGGACGCGACTGCTACTGAAGGACTTGGGCGCGGAACAAGTTGGTGCAACGGTGATCTACGAGGACAATCAAGGTGCCAAGGCACTGGCGAAAAAAGTTGGCTACCAAGCGCGCACCAAGTACATTGACATCCGCTACCATTACATCCGCGAGAAGGTGTCGACTGGTGAGGTGTAGCTCGAATACGTTGAATCCAAGAACCAGCTGGTCGACTTTCTGAGGGAGTCAACGAAGAGTCTTCGCTACCTGCTCGAGCGCAGTAATGTTACCGAAACGCTCGAGTTGACTGCGAATTGAGTGGGGTGTTGAGATTGTACACTACGCAGTCTCTTTGTCACGTTGCATGGGTGCACATGTACATCTTAGGATAGCATGCACAATCGAGGACGGCACGCACATTTGAGGACGACATGCACAAGTGAGGATGACTGTACTATTGAGGACGACACTAATCTAGGACTGGAGAGTAGGAAGATTTGTCTAATTCAAACTTAATCACTTTCGGGTTTCCTTTCAAACCAACAAGCCTCGTTCGCATACTCGCAAAACTTGCCGCCTTTCATATTTATCGACCGCATTAGCTTTCGTAGCCGGCTTTTAGACCTTCTAGTGCCGTTTGTTTGAATAGAATGGAGCTTGGGTGGTTGTCAACATTAGTGAGATGGGTCTCAATACTATCATGCCAAATTATTTTGCTCTCAGTATCACTACCTACATCATGCCCCACATCTCTTACGGTATTATATAAAAAAATAAAAAATGGTGTTACCGAGGTGTATATCGTTATCTGCACGAATTCCATCCATACCCGTTTATCGATTTGAGCAGCCTTTTTAGGACTATTGTACCGGTATGCAACCAAACGACTGCACCAATACGTACCATGCATGCGGTACAGTACGGTGTACCACCCGATGGTACACCCTACGACAGGAATACCCT